AGATTAATTCAAATCTTGTGATTAATCGCCATAACTGATACTCTAAAGGTTGAATGAGATTATTTTTTTTGTTTAAGTTTTGCTCAGCAGCTGATTCAGATGTAAGTATGAATTTATCAAAAATCAATTTTTTTTATTCAAATTTAGCTCAATAGGTGATTCAAATATCAATATGAATTTATGAAATTAGTGTGTGTATTCATTTAGAAAATAAATTATTTATGTGATGCGTACAGAGTAAAAGAAATGAGAGCTAATGATAAGGAACCAGGGGTTAATTGTGTTTAACTTTCGACTAGCAGTGATTACCATCGGTTAATCGACGGTTCTTCACTGATTCGAGTGGCAAGGTACACGTCCAAGATACATGAGATGAAATGGACTTGAGATTTTGCACTGCATTAAGATCAAACATCGTATTTCCTAAATCACATGTTAGCGGTGTATGCTCGTCATAACATGCAGGTTGTTGCTATCATGCTCATTAACTATCAAATATCAGACATCTCTATCAAATGATTTGAGACATTTGTTTTCTTTTTAATAAGATAGATTTCCCACAGGATCATATTCATACTAGAGCATCTGGAAATAAGTAATTAAACACTTTCTTTTCTTATCATAAACCAATTCTATTTATATCTTTGGCTAAAAATGAAAATGAATATGCTAATTATTAGTAATTTGATGTAATCAAGGGTATTCATTGATAATTTACTTATGCCTGATAAACCTTGATCATTGGTTAATTTCTACAACTAGAAAACATGATATCATCGCCACACATGATCAATTATATTTTTTGAATAATTGACAAAATCAAACACAGAATATTATGAATTAAACCATGGAACATAATAGATAGATCCATAATAAGCTCTGATGAATCATGATCCATGGTTATATTTACTCTTCGTTTTGAAAATATCATTTAAAAACAACGAGTAATACCTATATTAATTAAGTTTACAATGGCAACTTGTTGAACAAATCGATCGAACAAATGTGTGATTTGGTCAATCAACTAAGTATACTTAATTAAAGAAAAATACAAACGATAGATAACCATTAGAAATATACATCTATTGAATGATAATAATAGTCACAAATCATTACTAATTGATTTGGGGTAGAATTAAAAATGAAAAAGAGAAAACCATATAGTAATTAAAAGAATTAAATCTTGTTCGCAAAAATTAGTAACATCTTAATATTTCAAAATCAAAATAAGTCATCTAGAAGCTGAGGATGCAAAAGCGGAAGTGTGTAGACCCTTCTAATAATTAAACATGATTTTTTTATTACTCAGTAAGACTGTACTAGGATTTTTTTGAACTTGTTACCACCCCTATGAGATATTTTCTTATACACTTTCTCACAATCTTGAGACCATCACACGGTCTCTGTCTACAAATTTCATTATAATGTTTTGTTCTTATTTAGACAATAATAATAAAACAAACATTGGATAAATATGCCTCGATGGAAAAAAATGTACTCACTGAAAGTATTCTAATCTTGATAATGACGGTTTGTAATAAGAAACATCAAATAGATTCATCTCTTTTTCTCCTAGAGTATTATAGAACATTTCAAATTCAGATTCATCCATAGATTAATTAAAATAGATGATAGAAATCAAAGAGAAAAACACAAAAAAAAAACATGAAAGACAAGATAATGTAATACTACATATATAACATAATGATAAAGATCGAATAATAGTCGTCATTCATTTGCAGAGCTTTTTTTAGAGACACAAAAAGAATAATTTCGAATTGACTGTGAGTGTAAAAATTATTTTTAAATGTCTAACATTTAATTGAACTTGTTAGTTTAATAAAAAAATAAAATAATTCTGTTTCTTCTATAAATAAATATTTTTTAATTTAGACAAATATAACAACAATATTTTTCAAATAAATACATAGTTTATTTTAGATAATTTCCTTGAAATAGAATATTATAAAATAAGTTAGAGTTGTTTTTCTGTCGTTCACGTTTCATTTGAATTGGAGCGATCGGAAATGTGAACCGGAACTTAAACGATGATCGCTGTCATCATCGAAATATAAAAAGGAAGCAACTAGTCGAGACCATTTCCATGCACGTCAAGATCGGCCTCTAATCAAACTACTGAATTCTCACAACAGCATCGATGTCTATATACATCTATATATATTAACATGTTGCTTCTTGTTTTTATCCATCCACGACAAGCGTCGGCAAAAAAAGAAAACTATATAAAATTAAATTAGATCATCGTGCATGTCGATAGTCATATTTTCTCGTCCGATGTATTCGTATTACTTATAATGATCATTCTATGCTTTGATTCTAAAATAAGACGACTTATTTTTTTTTTATTGATAAGATATATAAGTCATGATTTGCATGTTATTGAAGTGATGTATGATCGATTCATAAGATCTATTCTTTTTCCACAAATGTTATATGATGTTAAGAGAACAAGGTTAGCACGTTTCTTCTTGTGAATCAAAGACCTCATTTGTAATTTACTTTATACTCATATGTAAGTATTAAATTTTTGAATAGTCATGCTTTTCATTTTTATTTTGTATGGACAAAATAGTTTTATCTATAGTTAAACTATAATCATAATAATCGATTGAAATGATGATGATTCGTCTCTTTTTTTTCTTATTTTTGCTTGACAGAAAACGAAAGAATGAGAAATTTATGTATGCTAGATGATAAATTCTCAAAAATGTTCATAGCACAATATCTAAATACTTATTTATTCATTTATTGAGTAATATAATCATTTATTACAAGGTTATGATAAATTTTAATTGTCTTATTTAAGTATGCTTAGTGTTCAAACATACACCTACACAATTTTATCATTATTTGAATATATTTATTAAAGTTGAAAGGAAAATAATGTGTAATTTTTCTTTTGCTTACAATAATATTTTTCTTCTGTTCCATTCTTTATTTTTAAGCTAAATACATGAACACACGCTTACATGAGCATATATGGATTCAGAAAGCACTACCAGCTTAATGCCGTAGAGGTTTTGTTGTCATTTGATTCGTCTTCACATATATATAGAGAGAGAGAAAGAGAGAAAAAGACCGTAAAACCATATAGAGAGAAAAAGAAGACAAGAAACTGACAGTAAAGATGAAACTAAGAATGGCTTTATTTTTAATGACAAACTATTTGATGGATAGTGAATTATGTTGAGTAATACAACTAACTAAAAAAAAATTCTTTTCCTTTGTAAATACAAACAACAGAAAAAAACCATGATTGCACGTCTTATTGGTTTTGCGGCATTAACTATTATAACGGTTCTTGGTAATATAATTATTGTTATTGCTATATGCGTTGAACCACGGTTAAAAAGTGTATGTTTATATAAATAATTGATTTTCTTCTATAGTAACATGTTCATTTTTAATTAAGGTTAGCAATTATTTAATAATTAATTTAGCTGTAGCCGATTTTTTTGTTGGTACAACTGTTATACCATTCATATCGCTTTGGGAAATACATGATGAATGGCGTTTTGGTGTACGTTTATGCAATATATGGTTATGTTGTACATTATTATTTTGTACTGTTTCTTTTTTAACAATGTCTGCTATAGCATTGGATCGTTATTTATATTTAATTGAATCTAAAATGGATCGAAAACGACGTACAGTACGACGCGCTTTTTCATTGATTATTTTAACATGGTTAATACCAGCAATGGTTTGGATACCAGGTATTTATATATATATTTAATTAATGAAAAGAATATCGAATCTATTTTTTTTTGTGTATGATTCTAGGTGTTCTTGCACACAGTTATATAGCTGGATATTCACCGATTGTTCCACCTGAAAATGGTTGTTATTTACAAGCACGTGCTATTTATGTTTTAATAGCAACAATATTACTATTTTTCTTACCAATGATTGGTATGATTGTATTATATATAAAAATTTTCCGTGTATTACATGGTCAAATGAGTAAATTATTAGTTTGGTTAACTGAAGTTAAACTTAATAATGGACGACGTACATCACAAACAATTGTATTTGATCCATTAACGGGTACAGGAAATGAAACAGGTGGAGGACGTGGACCTGTATCAACAGCAAGTAGTACATCAAATTTCCATCAACAAACAGCACGTTGTTCAACAATTGGAAGTATAAATAATATAAATTATATTCATCATCATCATCCACGCATAACAAATAATTATACAACTATTCGTTCAATAAAAAATCTTTCAACAATGGAAACAAATAAGTATCGTTTACCACAACAACAACAACAACATGATATATTACAAAGGAATTCTAATACACCTTCAAGCACAAAAAATAAATTTCGTCGTGCTGTTCATGCTATTGTATGGCTTGGACGTACACGTGATTCAGCTGGTATAAATAAAGGTTCATTTAAAGAATATCGTGAAAATTCTCAAGCACGTACACATAAAAAATGTTTTTATACATCAACTTGGTCATCATCACCAGGTGCCAATAATAATCCATTTCATCGTGCACGTAATTCAACATATAGACGTGCTATATCAACAACTGATTCATTATTACAACGACAAATAAGTGTTGCACGACGACAACAACAACAAAAAATGCGTCTAGCTAAACAACGTCGTGTAGCACGTACACTTGGGGTACTTATATTTGTTTTTCTTGTATCATGGTTACCATTTACTATTCTATGGCCTGTACAAAGATTTTTCGGTATTAAATATGTATCAAATAGTTTATTAAGAAAAACTTTGTGGTTAACATATGCTAATACATTTATTAATCCATTTCTTTATTTTTTTTCAAATAATGATTTTCGTTATGCTTTAAGACGAATGTTAAAATGTTGTTTTCGACAAAATGGTAGTAGTGGAAATATACAAATAAGATAACAAGTCAAAAAACAAAAACAAGCAAATAGTTATTTATTTATTTATTTTCTGTTGTGCATAAATTTTATCATTACTTTCAATTAATGCTAATTATTCATGAACAAATTTTTTACGACCTTCATTAAAATCTGCAACAACATCACCATGACCTTCAATACCAACAGAGCCACGAGAATGTATACGTCCTGTACTTATATCAACTTCAGCACCTGTTAAATATTTAATTTGGTCTTTCATTTATAATAAAGTATTGCTTTGTCTGTTTTACCTAAACCAAATCGGTAACCATCTGAAAAACGTGTACTAACATTATGAAAAACACATGTACTGTCAACTGTACTAAGGAAATCATTGGCTGCATTTTCTATAAACGACAGCAAATATATAGTTTTTTGTGTCTGTGTAAAAATAAAATACATACGATTCTCTTTCACAATTGAATCTGTATGATTTGAACTAAATTTATTAATATGTTCGATAGCATCTTGAACATTGTCAACAACTTCAATAGCACATTGTAAATCACCATATTCAACAAGTAATGATGTTGTCGATGGTGGTGGAAATGGAATCATAACTGATAAACATGGGCCTGAATAGACGTTCACCTATAATGAACAAAAATCGAGGTCATCTTTATTTGTGTCGTAAATATTAATATGATATATCTTTTGTAAGCTGTTTCTTTTGAAAAGAAAATTCTTTTCTTTCATTTCATTACAAAAGATGAAATATATGAGTATTTTCTTTCCTTATTAAAACCTAAAGAAATATATTTCTATATATATATATTATTTGTCTTGGAAGGCGTTTTCATAGTTCTCTTTCTCTTCATATTATGGTGAACTAAAGAAAAAAAAACACTACTTAAACCTAAAGAACAAACCTTTTCAATACGTAATAAATCAATTAATGATTCAAAAAATGGTGGTCGAATAAGATCTTTATGAATAAGTAAAGTTTCCATTGCATTACAAGCACTTGGATAATCACATTTCGAATCTCGTACTTAATGACATAAAAAAAATGAAAGTAGAAAAATGAATTTTTTTTTCATACAAAAATAATCTTACCAATACGTAAAGCCATATCCAAATTTGCATCTTTATCAACATATACATGGCAAAGACCTTCGGCATGACCTAACACAGGTATATGAACGCTTTGTTTGTGTACTGAACGAACAAGTTCATTTGAACTACGTGGAATAACAAGATCATTATATTTTCTTAAGTGAAGAAAATCTGATACTTGTTCACGTGTATTAATCTAAACTCAAAACTAACATTTATTTAAAACAAAAGAAACAAGATACACTAGGAAAATAATATTTACCCAGAGCAACTATTTCACGTGAAACATAAGTTTCAAGGGCATCTTGTATGATTTGTGTTAATATTTCATTTGAATATTTAGCGTCTGAACCATCTTTTAATAAAAGACCATTACCAGAACATATTGATAGAGCAGCTATTTGTGGTACACTATCTGGACGTGATTCAAATATGACCAGAAGAACACTGGTGGGTGTTGTAATTTGTTTTAACATTAAGCCATCTGCAAGACGTCTTCGATGAACAACTTGCCCTAAAGAGTTTTAATAAAATAAAAAAGATTAATTAAAAAAAATATAGAACAAATCAAGTACATCAGCCTTTTTGGCTATTTGTTGAAGACCAAGTGATAATGTTTGTAATTTCTTTTCTGGTAAACCAAGACGTCCAATTAATGATGATTAAAGATCTTTAAGTAAGCATTTTTATAGAAGTCATATTTGATACTTTATCATACCTCCTTTTTTTGCTTGTTCTAAATCCTGTTCATTAGCTTGAAGAATGTCTTTTGAATATTCATTTAAACTTAATGCAATTTTATCAATTATTGCTTTACGCTGATCACTTGATAATTTTTATAAGAGTCGACTACCATCACGAGCTATTAAATTCAATAAGAAAATTATTCTTTTTATTTATTTAAAACACTTAATGTTTTATTCAGCACCAGGTCCAAGAGGGCAGCACATCTCCAAAAATCGGGTTAGCACTACCGGAGTTTTAAATCATTTCTTCAGAAGAAAACATCTGAATCAAACTCTGCTTTAATTCTTCAACTATAAAGTCATAACTATACAAGCATGTACATGTTATTTTCTTTTTAAAACCGATGCTATCCTTCTTCTAATGATTATTTTCGCAATCAATAAAATTTAAAAGAAAAAAATTATATGGATATTACCTTTTGTAGCTTGAACATCAACTGGTAATAATTGATTAGGTACTTTTCTAAAAAATATTCCAATTTTTTTCTATCAATTATATTTAAAATAGCTTTATCTATTTGTCCATTTGTTATAACAACGCCAACCTCATGATCAAGTGCCCATGACGCACATTTAACCTACAAAAAAAAAAAGAAAAATTATTCAAGTAATTTTTTGTAAATAATCAAACGGAAAGCGAAAACATTACTTTTGATTCCATTCCACCTGTACCGACTTTTGATCGAGCACCAAAAGTAATTAATTGTGAATCTTGTTTTGGACAAAATGTATTTAAAAATCTTGAACCTTCTAATTCAGGTGGTCCTGCATATAAACCATTAACATCATTCATGATTAATAATAAATCAGCTGATATTAAAACAGCTAAATGTGCTGCTAATGAATCATTATCATTAATAACAATTTCATCTTTTGCTGCTGTTACTTCAGCATCTGTATCTGTGCATGGTGCAACAGCATCGTTTGTATTTAAAATACATATTATATTTAGATTAAGTAATTCATTAAGTGTAGCTTGTAAATTTTTTCTACTATCAGCATTATAAAAATCACTTTTTTGTAACAAGAACTTGTGCAACTCCGATATTATATTGTTGAAACATTCGTTCATAAAATGACATAAGACCTTTTTGTCCAAAAGTCGCACATGCTTGTCTTTGAATAGCTACACGACTATTTTCTAAAATATCTTTTGGTGAAAGTGATCTTCTCATTGTCATTGTCATCATGGCTTCTTTACATAGAACTTGTCGATCAAGTGCAACAGCGCCACTAGTAACTAATAACATTTGTCGACCTTTGTTTTGTAGTTGTGATACTTGTTCAACGGTTGATGCTAGACGTCCTATTGCTAGATCATCTTCATTTTCACGTGTTATTAATGCTGTACCAAGTTTAACAATAATACGACATGCATCTTTCATACCAGTGCGACATGAGATAGATGATCTTTTTCGTCTAATTATTCCATTTTGATTTATAACTAAAAAAATAAAACTTAAATTTCAAAAAGAAAAGAGAATTCTTTCATTTCTTTTCTTTTGTACATGATAAAACTGTGGTTTGAGTCCGTATTGATAATAAGTTTAATGGATTTATTCAGTTCCATGATGAATATCCATAACCAGATAAAATTGACATTGTTGTTTTTCGTATAAATTTAAATATAATCAATTACATGCAAGTTACATTTGTTTTTATTTGCTAAACATCCATTGTCTTATCACATACCATGAATAACAAAAAAGGGTTTTGAGAGATAATACCTATGTTATGATAAAAGCTTCTTTCTAAACATGTACTGAGAATATGAGTTCCTGTATGATGATCTAGGCAAGAAAATCATATCAAATGAAATAAAAGAAAGATTCATACTGATATCGCTGAGTTCATAAACACTTCTTTTTTTTTTAACCATGTTTTAGAATGATATCTCGAAAGAATAAAAGCATAAGATAAATATCTGCAAAAACGGTTGCGGTAAGTTATCACTTTCGATATTTCATCGTTTCATGTTATGTTATCTTTTCTAGATAAAAGTGAATTGAAGTCAATAAAATCAAAGATGTCAACAATGGATATGTTGCAAGTACACCCATATGCATAGGTCATATTATATGAAAAGATGATTGCAAATGAAAAACAAAACAGTTTTATGGTAATATACAAAAGTTTTTTGTCCAAACTTTTTCTTTCAAAGAAGCGATTTAAAACTCCCAAAAGGTACACATCCATTTTATGAAGCACAGACACATAATACACGAGGAAATAACTACAGACTCCGAGAGGGTCAATCCAATTTTCGGATAGCCACCACCGTCTCAATCCCTATGCTAGATAAAACATGAATACAGAATTGAGTTCATACTCATAGTTATTGATCAACTATTAATTCATTCTAATTGACCATATTTTTCTTTTAAATAGGATCAATTTATATCCAAAATATTTGAACTAAATAAAATTTTTAAACCAATGCTTTCAGAGTTTAATGTTAGAACTTTAAATTATGAAATTTTAACTAAGTGCTATGATCGAAATCATTTCAGTTCATAAAAAAATTCATTCTCTATTTATTCATTTTCTATTATAAATAAACTTGCAAATGTTTTCCTTTCTTTTTATTATACAATACAGATTTGTTAATGTTAATAAGATAGATACAACAAACAATCGACTAATATAATTCCTTTGAAAATTATCTATGATTGTATAATATTCATTATTCTGGCATTTGATAATTACCCTTGACATTATTTCAATGTTTTTTTTTTGCTACCATGCATAACCATTATTCAGCCAGCATGTTTCCTGTTATTTTTATCAGATTTTATACTTTCTTTATATGATATAATAATTATTTCTCTATTTGTACACTCGCCAATTAACATCAAGTAGTAATATCTTCCTACTACAGAAAAAGCAAATCTTCCGGAAATTTTTTTTCTATAGTGGGAAACACTACAAATTATTCAAATATTAAATGAATACATAGAGACACTCTTAATATATATGTGTTTAGTTATGAATGCATAAAATCAGAAAGCAATCAAATTGACATTTTCTTTTTATTGACTTGTTTGGGAAAACGGAAAGCACATATCATCTAGATTAAACATGCGAAAAGAAAAGAAAACAAAACAGTAGAAACAGACAAATTATGACTGGCACCAAAGGAAGTTGCATATGTATATCATGATGTAGGATCTTCCTGAGTTTCCAATTTAGATTAATAAAACACATATATGTATATATACATATATATATATATAATACGAGTATCACAGACAAAACATTTTCATTTTCTTTTTAAACATCAGTATCTTTTGATGATTTCGAAGTGTCATGAATATTTTCTGACTTGTCATTAATTAATTGTTGATGAGTTGTTCGATGTAAAAATGATGGCAATGGTGGTGGAATGCGAGACATTCGTGGTCGTTGAATATTATGTGTTGATGTGTTACCATTTTGGTAATTTAAATTTGCTCCTAGTGTACTCGTATTTATATTATTGTCATGTGAAATTTGATGTTGACCTTGAGATGATGAGTGAAGACGATTTATTGTTTTAAAACGTGTCCATAATTGATTTATAATTTCTGTTACAACAAGATCGCTACTATTTACTGAAAGTAAACGTGTAACAAAAACTCCATCATCTTTTAAATAATGTAAAACAAAATCGCGTGCTAATTGACGCTCTTCTTGAGGATGAAAGGATGACATTATACCAAGATGACGTCTAACAAAATGAACTTTTTCACCTTAAACAAAAAAAAAACAATTAAATCTTAAAGAATTTTTCTATTATTATTTTTATAAATAAGATTTATACACATATTTATTTAGCGGAAAAGAATGTCATCTATATAGCAAACGTTCATTTTTTTCCCAATGGAATTACACAATTTACATTTGTCATTTTTCCATCAACGACTCCCCAGAGATTTAACTCTTCTAAAAAGTTTAAACTCACGTGGAACAGTACAATGATATAACCAAAGAAGAAAATCATAAACCGTTGCTAAATAAACCAAACAATATTTAGAAAGAAATAAAAATAAAACTCTCTCAAAAGTCTTACCGGCACTAATTGATATAAGCCAAAACCATTGAATAATAAAAATGACTTCATTGAATAAATTTATTCTTAGTACACATTGGACTGTATAGAAATGATTAATACCAATTTCTCGAATTTTAAAATCACTAGAAAAAAAAGTTCAATATGAATAAACTGATCTAATGGTTGTAAATATAACGTACCAATAAGTCACTTTAGGAAAATGTCTATTTTCAGTCCAGCGTTGATTTTTAAATAATTTTTCAATAACTTCAAAACCAAATAAATAATAATCATTGCCTAAAAAAGCATTTAATAAAAATAATTGTGCTAATGCATTAACCAGCCACATTAATTTGACAAGGAAATAGACAATAACAAGATAATTTCCATAATGACGATTTGAACAAAAGAAAAATAATTGGAAAAAGCGACGAAGAAATGAGAAACGTTTTTCAATATGATGTCGTGTTAGTTGTGCTCGTGCGGATATATAACGTTCAATATTAACAATTAAATAACTCATTATACGATCTCGTGATTCATACTGTTCAACTTGCTCATATTTCTAAAATATGAAAAAAAAAAGTTTCAACAAATAATATAAATTAATAATTAAGAAAACTTACTATTGCTGCATCAACAAGATTTACTAAATCAAGACCTGATTTAACATTCAAAGTACGCCAAACAATACGTGGAAAATAGAATAAAAACGCTTGAAATAATAATATAAATGGTACCCATTGGTAATAGAGCTAAAAAAGAAAAAAAACCTCATAATTCGTTTCATTAAAAAAATAAATGTTATCTATTATTTACAATATCTTTATTTCGTCGACTCGATTCATCATCAGGTAATTCTTGATCAATAGGAATATCTAATAAAAATTCAGTTTTCTTTATTAAAGAAAAACAAACGTCAACACGATTTCTTACAATAAGTATTAGCAATCCAACAATAACTATCTGTATATGCCTCATAAGATGGTTTAAATTGAGCTGGTACCTAAACAATAATAAATAATAAATAATTTTATTTAAAAAGACAATAATATTTACCCAACAATCAATAGGATCTCCTAAAAATAAATTAATAATAATAATAATAATAATAAACTGTTGTTTATATTTCCTACCGGCATACTGTTTTGTCGTGACAAGAATAGCAAAAACAACACATATAGTTGTCGTATATCGATGACTGAGCCGATCAACATAAGAATCATCATCACGAAATTGTCTTAAATGTGAAACAGAAAGACCAGCGAGTTGTCTGACTAATTCCATCTATATTGTTGTTCTTTTGGCTGCCGTTGATGATGATCATCAGGCATAGTCTTACTGTTTAGATCTTGAAAAAAGGAAAAAAAAACATTAACAATCACAACAACCAAAGCGAAATAAGATTCTCTCAAGAGAATTAATTTTTATCTTTTATCTCAACTCAATCAATATTAAGTTATTGATATATCATCAACTTACCTCTTTTTTTCTTCCTTAAATATAGTATTATTTAATTATTTTGATCAAATGGCATTTATACAAAAAAAAAAAAAAATCTTTTCTATATTTATTAATAGATGTGTGATTTGAACTTGAATAATGATATTATATTCATCTTTCCATTTTTCTTTTCTTCTCTTTCGCTCTCTTACGTCTATTATCACATTGCATTATCAAAAAATGATTATAGAAACGAGCTTCTTTATTTCTCTGTGCTATACTTCTATTCCTGTTACAACCATCATCATTACTTAAGAGAGTAAGGCTCGACGAAGTCATCGAGAATGAACGAAGCGAAGAAAATAAGGAACATCCATCTATCCCATCTATCTATCCATCTACACACACAGTACTTTCAACATTCGATGGTTACATAAAAAAAAGCGCAAATATAAAGATTCTTCTTCTATAATCGTGATTGGAACACACACACACACACATACAGATCTATTTTGATAAGATGAAATACACGCATGCATGCATGCATATCTATTTATTTAATAAGACTTTGATTAAACTTGTCTTCAAATGATCATTTACTAAATAAAATGAAAACAAAAAATTAATATCAGACATTATTTAATTTCGATACTAACGAAAAGAAACAAACAAATCGTATATTTATATTAATGTATATATATATATATGATTCTATATAGTGATAGACATGCGACAATAACGAAATAGTAGCCTGTCTAACTAATTTCATTATTCTGGACGACAAGGCATATATATATATATATATACATTTATAGACATCTAGTATTTGCGTTCGATGATGATAATGAAAAAAAAAAAGACGATTGTGTTTTCTTATCATTAGACACTAGGGAGTACATGTATCGATTGCTGCTATTGACGCACAAACCTTATTCGACCAAGTTGTTAGCTCATGCTGTTCGTCGTCATAATCCGATGAAACATGCAATAGAGTAACTACTCTTTTCTGAGCATTCTGTCGCCGTGTTCTCTTTCAATTACTATTGAGAGACACTCACGCAATCGTGCCTATCGGACTCTGCGTGTTGAAGACCAAGCCGATAGTTCAATGACTGATGAAGACTATCATTAGATATGTATGTGAAGATATGTAATGTTAATAGTATATAGAACTGAACATTTGTTTTCTTATTATCTCTTTTTTTTGTCTTGATTATTATGATATATCTTTCTATCAAGTATTCAAAGTATTTCTAAGAGATTACTTACCTGCATTTGATGATTATATTATTTGTTAGTTCACATGCTTTTTTGATGCATACTGTATGTTAGTCTCAGGAGATTTTTATCATTATACAAAAGAAAAGATTATAGAGAAGATTCATCAATAACTATCAAAATCGTAC